AGTCTCTGGAAGAGCAACGAACTCTAATTTTTCCTATTAGTTCAATACTACATTTTTTAAAAAGCAACTTTTTTATCATAGAGTAAGACAGTAAGAAGTTTAAGAAATAATATAACTAAAATTTACTATTCTTATTTTATTTATTTATTTAAAATTTTATTATTATAATTTGCTGAAAAACTCACTAAAAATAACATTCAGCTCAACTAAAGCTATACTTGAGGAACAATAGATTATTAAAAGTATGAATACATACATAGGATTCATTCCTAATGGTTGCTTCGTACCTTCTTCATCTCTGTCTTAAAGATGTGGAAGCCAACTAGGAACTTTCTTTAAGTCACATGGTTAACAGGAGAATATGGGGCAACCTGGCCCTAGAGTTAACACTCTTAATATTCAATGAGGAACATTTTTAACTGAAGGATGAGTGGAAAAGGAGCCAGAGAAATTCATACTATTTTGGTTTCTAAAACAATAAAGACCAGCGAAAGTGTCCATTTATGTTTCCATCTTTATTCTTGAAAGAAGAATTAAGAGCATAGCATTGGCCAGTGATGTGAGCATTTTTTCAAAGGTGAAAAGACAAAAGACCCAAAACTGTATAGAAATGATGAGCATTGGATTACTATTCTGTGCTTTGCTCAAACAAGAATCTATATTAAATTTGTACTTCTACATAGTTTCTTCCAACAATGGCTGCCTAAAAAGTCATGAAGTGAAGTTGCAAAATCTAATAAGTGAAAGAGAAGGAAATGCCCCCCAAAAAGGGGGATCACATATAATAAGATTAAGGGGATAAATACATAGAGTATATAAAAGTTTGACAAGAATGCATTTCTAAAAACATTAGTTATTAGAAACCACAAACAGTGTTTAGAAAATGAGTGAGCTCTCACAGGAGAATAGAGTGTCTCAAGTTATTGTGAGAACATATATGTATGCAAAGACATGTTATCTATACTTCGAGATAATCATGACTGTATTAGTTCTAGTGATCATTTTGAAGAGAACAAAAGTTTGTGGGACTCTGTTCAGTTCCCAGCACCCATATCCTGTGGTTTACAACCCCCTGTAACTTCAGACCGAGAGTATCTGATGCCTTTTTCTCACCTCTGTGGACAACTGTGCCCTCATGCACAGAGACATATAATTGTTTCTTTTTAAATAGTAGCAAGACTGTGACTTTCTCCCCTCAGTATCTCTAGCATTTAGTATTCTTGCTGACATAGTTGGGTATGGCACACACTTTTAAATCTTGCATTTGAAGGATATCAGAAGACTGAACAGTAGGCTTGTTTGTTTCTTTTGAGACCAAGCCTTGCTAGGAAGCCAAGGCTAGCTTTCAACTTGTTATATGGTCCAGATTTGTCTCCAACTCAAAATTCTTCTACCTCAACATTCCAAGTCCTGGAATTATGGGCATGTGGCATAACACCCAGCTCAAAATATTGACTTGAATCCTTAAATATTGACTTGTCACCCAATGAGACTAGATGGATTCCATCTAATTGTAGGTAAAAATAGTTACGGATGGAGTTTCTGCTGGTGCTGCTTATTGAGGATAAATGCTCCTGAACAGAGAAGGAGAAGGACATATGGTTACAAAGGGAAACCTGTGGTCAGGTCTGGAGCCAGGACTATTAATAAGAGTTGTCCTTCATTGGGCCAAGGGAGCCAAACCTCTGTCTGGCACTGGATAAACTTCTACTCTTTCAAGAGCATGCCCTTGGGAAAGGTGTCACTGAAGTGGAGGAGGCCTCTGGGAGGTTAACAAGTGAGATAACAAATCCTTCCTTAAAGGTGAACCTGGCCAGTGCATTCCCATGTTTGCTATAGTTGTTCAATTTGAAATGTTCTGTTTGGCATCTAGAACACTTGAATTGATCTTTGAGAATACAGAATGATCTTAGCAAGCATTTCAAATCATATTTTCCCTGGGATCAAAGAAAAGACCCGCACTACTCTAGAGTAGACTGAAACATTTTATTCACGCAATGTGACTTATAGGAAAACAAGGGAAAGGAAGAGAGCATAGACACTTCGGCATGAGATGTTATCTTTTTATGGAATGCCATCTTTCACTAAGTGTGGCTGGCTACTTGCTTGTGTATGGACACAGCTTTTTACTACACAAAAAGCTCTTCCTCTGATGCTTCCATACAGTTTCATGTGAAATTCCTCCAAATCCTTAGATGTTCCATTGTGCTAGATCTTAAGTCTAGCAAGTAAATACGTTCACCAGGATGTCTTTTACTCTAGAGTCACAAAGAGGACACCAGCAGCTTTCTTCTTTGACTTAATTTTTATTCCTCAGCTATCTTCATGTCTTCTGGTGCCAACACACTTGGTATTCTATAGTAGGAAGCTCATGTTTTCAAGGGTCAAGTTTCAGTAGGGCCTGAGGAAGTAACCAAAAGTAAATCCATATTTTAATTCCTCCTAAGTCACAATGAAGAAATATACTTACTCTAACAGTCCCATGGCCCAAATACACACACAGCCTGCTCTATCTAACAATAAATATGTACTGGGTAGGTTAGTAAGCAATTGAATTTAAGCGAAATGAAGCTGCCATTTCAACAAAACAAAGAAAGGTTGGCTTGTCTTTCATGCTAAATTTCTGGAGAAAGTTCAAGAGCTTCCTATACATAGAGGACATAAGGAATACGTCTTAGAAGCCAGGATGTGAGGAAAATTGTGTAAGTTCATAAGGGTCTTTCTCTTCCACTACAGTAGTAGCATATTGTTATTAAGTGCTTATAAACGATGAAAGTTGGATCAATTTGCAAGAATCTTTTCCTCCAGAACCATGAGTTAACATATAGATTTCTAAGATGTAAGCTGCAAAAATTGTAAAGCATTTTCATTTCCTTTTTGCATATATAGTAAATGGAGAAAGCAAGCTAGCATTCCTTAGGCATTCCAGGAATAATGTTCATAAGTGATCAATGTTTTCATTTGGTTCTTTCTCCATCCTTAGGGGTAAACACTAAAATAGAACTAAATACGTTTAAATTTTTTAAAAAGATTTAGTACAAATTCCGTAGTAACTTAATATCCAATAACATGTTAATTCTCTGGGTTCCCAGGGCTATTTTAAAGTCTTTAGGGGAAAATATAATTATTTTTTTTTTGTTTTCAGCTTTGGTATGTTGCCATTAAACTTCACTCAGTATCCCCATACTCTTTTCCAGCTTATCCATTTGACTCAGCATGCAAGATCCTAAAAAAAAAAAAAAAAAGAGGAAAGAGATGCTCTTGACTAGGGGAGGGAAGGGAAGCATTCATGGCTGTCATGAGCAGGGAGCTTGGTCTCCAGTTCCAAATCCAAATTTCTGGGCTTTTGTATGCATCTTTTTCCCATATAACTAGAGAGGATGCTGGGTTCTTGCTAAAGGTCTTCAAATGCCTCCATTATTTTCTGGCTACTATGCAGGAAGATTTAATTGTGGCTCATGTAATAGGGCTTGAACTGGCCTTTCCCATGGCTTCTGGCTAATTTAGAAGATAGGAGTCATATGACACCCTCCTGCTACAGTCCTAGACACTTAAGAAGCAAATAAAGACTGCAAATCGTTGGTTTATATTATATTATAGACTTTCAGAGTAAAATGACCTTTCAAAGCCAAGAGGAGAAAATTTAAAGCTACAAGTATCATTTCTACATTAAAACATACTTTATTATTTGTCTGTCTATCAGTTTACAGATGGATGCCCACGGAAGCCAGAACTGAGAGTTGAATTCCTTGAAGCTTAAGTTACAGGCATTTGTAAGCTACCTAATGTGGATACTGAGGTCCAAAACCCCTATCCTCTAAACCAACAAAAATTGCCAAGTCATCTCTCCAGCTCTCTCTACTTTTGATTAGCAACATGAAAAAAAAATCCTCAAGTTTGGCTAGAAATAAATCCTTTCATTATCTGGTAGAAATTATAACCATTTAGCTGGGTGTGGCAGTGCTCTCTAGAGGCTGAGACAAGAGGGTTCAGAATTCAAGGCCAGGGAAAATATAGCAAGACCCTAATCAAAAAAGAGGGTGCTATAACTACATAAGTTTAAGTGTTAAATTTAGTCCTTTCTATGACAGTTTTTCTGTTCATATAATGGTCCAAACTGCCATTTTAAATTTGCTTTCAGGACGAGGACATCTTCTAACTCAGTGAACTGGCTCCATCACCATCAAAATGAAAGTTAAAATCAAGTTCAAGGGTTTTTTTTTTATTATTCTGTTTCAAAGTCATGAATACAATTTAACCCTGCTAGCTTTCATAAAATCATGTGAAAGTGATACCAAAGAGTGTAGAAAACCATCATCTCTGCAGGAAAAATAATTCACAGGTTAGTTGTGTTAATAGTGGGGGAATGCTGTCCTTTCAGGTTAATCAGGAAAGTGTGATATCAAGGTTGCCCTACAACCTGAACTTTCATGGTAGGGTTCACTTTGAAGTGCCTGTAGTGGGCACAATGCTATTCCAATGTCATGATTCCTGAAGTGCTGAAGAGGATCATAGCAGTATCATTAGGTTTGGAGCACAGACCTTCAAATGGTGCAGAAACTGTTTTTGTGAACTCTGTCCTGCTGGATCTGTTACCCTGACTTATGGATGCTTTATCTTTTCTGAGAAAAAAATGAGATGACAAAAGAAGGATGAAAAATCTCTATGTCACACTGTGGTACCTAGGAAAGCCAGAACACATCAGCTTTTGTGCTAAAATTTGAGACCTACAGCCAAGCCTACCCACCACAGTATATTGATTTTTTTTTAAGTTTCTGTCATGCATCCTGGAACTCATGTTCCCTCTTATTGTCCATACCTGTAACATATACTTGGACATGCCCAAACAGCAACTACATGGATCTTATAGCCACATCACAGAAGGATATTAAAGAAGAGGGGAGGAAGAGGAGGAGGAGGAGGAGGATGAAGAGGAAAAGGAGGAGGAAGAGGAAGAGGAAGGAGGAAGAAGAGGAGGAAATAATAATACACAGCCAAAATTTTGAAGGTACTCTATTTTTATTTCAAAACATGGGTAGAATTCAAAATTTGAGCTTCAACGACCAAAAATATATTGGAACAAAATTTTCAGAGGATAAGCCAGGCCACCACTATGGCAACAAGCTTCACATAGACAGGTGAATGTTAGGGAATGATGTTCAAGAGTTGGCTGAAGCTATTGCACACCCACAAATAGATTTCTACATGCTTGACTAATGCTCAGTTATGAGTATGGTGTGTTCTCCATGTCACGTGTAATGTATGCCTTCTCCACAGTCAGTGTGGGATCCATCTGAATGTTATGTGTGAAAGCCTGCTTCCTCACAAAAGTTTACCATCATTTACCTGCAAAACCCTTAAGATTATAGGTTCCTTCTGCCATCTTTATATCCCCTAAGTCATTTCTGAATAATAACTATAGCAGTCAGGAGTCCTGTTGTCACAGAAAAGAACCCATGTGTTAGTTATTTTAGTAGCAGTTAGCTGACTGTGAGTAAATCTCACTAAACATATCCATGGACTTGGCATCCAGATCTTAAAACTGGGAACTTTTAGAGGCAAATCTTAGACCAAAACGACAAGGGGAAACAACAACTAAAGATCTCCTAAGGAGAGCTGGGTAAATTCTTCCCTAATATGCACCAAATAGGGACAGCCTGACACGCTCTTGCACAGGGCCCCACGTTTTCCCACTAACGAATTGCTATCAGGCACCCAAACCATAATCAGAGCCAACAGGGGAAATGCCTGAATCTGAAAAGTAACCAAAAGAAATTCTTCCAGGGAAAGGAGATGGGAATGGAAAGCAAGTTCCCAGAGTCACTTTCTGTTGAAAGCAAATTGAGTCTTGAGGACTAGAATATGCACAATCCTGTGGGACTTCCTCCCTCTTTATCTGCCTTAACTCTTTTCTCGCCAGTCCTTCTCTAGCAGGTTGAACTGCTCCTGTAGTTGTGCCAGCCAGAGAGCCAATCATCAATAAGCCTCAGGAGCTGCATTCCTCGCAGTGACAGGAAAGGATGTACCGGTAAGTGGCAGTAAGTCGCATGCCCCCTGAGCAGCGCAAACGCAGAGCCTTCAGCTTGGAAGTCTGGGGTCGGCAGCAGTGACAGGAGGAACGGAAAGGTTGCTTGAGGACAGTGCTGAAGGACACCAAGGGCTCAGAGCGTGATGCCTGGCTGCAATGCCCCTCACACCTGGCCAGGAGCACCATCTGGAGAAACAAGAGAGGTGGTTACTGTGTACAGTTATCAAAACCTCAGGTTACCACAACATCCTTTGAAAGACTCCAACACTCCTTACTGATTCCTGCTGGGTTGGACTAGTGGCTCCAGTTGCTGGTCACACATAAGAATCTATTGGTGAACCTAAAATATGTGTTTAAGGTGGTGTAGCTCAGTGATAGACCACTTGATAAGCATGCACAAGGCTCTGGGTTCAATCTTTAGTGTCCAAGAATAGGTAAGAAGACAGTCAACACTATTCTATCTGATTCCATTTTGAATTAAACTCCTTTAGGAGGGCGCAGGATTTTCAGGGATTTGCAAGATGTTAAGAAATGCTCAGTCCTCGCTGAACTTCACAGTCACTTGTAATCATAGTGTTTAGTAGGTAGAGGCAGAAGCATCAGGAGTTCAAGGTCATCTTTAAGTACATAGTGTGTTCAAAACTAGTCTAGGTTACCACATTACTTCAGGAAAGAAAGAAAGAAAGAAAGAAAGAAAGAAAGAAAGAAAGAAAGAAAGAAAGAAAGAAAGAAAGAAAGAAAGAAAGAAAGAAAGAAAGAAGAGAAGGGAGAAAAGAAGGGAGAAAGGGAGAAAGAAAGAGGGAGGGAAGGAAAGAAGAATGAAAGAAGAAAGAAAGAAAGAAAGAAAGAAAGAAAGAAAGGAAGGAAGGAAGGAAGGAAGGAAGAAAGAAAGAAAGAAAGAAAGAAAGAAAGAAAGAAAGAAGAAACCACCACCACCACCACTAAAAAACCCACCAGAGTTCCTTCTTATAGATGGAGGTCTACCACTGCCCAAATGTATTGAAATTCTACCAACAACAAGCTGAAAGTCACTTTAGGTTGAAATCTAGGAGTAAACAGTGAAGAGTGACAGGGTGGGGGTTGTTCCAGTGGGAACTAGCTAAAGAGAAGGAATGTGGTCACTGTAGAAGGCGCAAACTAAGTGTTGTTTTGCTGCAACTTAGGAGAGGAAACTGAATTAGAGAAATGGGATCTATTTTGGGGCCACACGCCTGGGCTTGTACCTTATACCTGTCATCAGTACAACTTACATACATCTGTCTTCAGAGTGATTTAGAGAAAATTTTCCCTGTTCTTTTCCATTCCCAAATGTTTGGACTGCTACATCAGAGCCAATGTGTTCTTTATAGCAAGAAGCCTCTAATTAAGGGGCTGGAGAGATGAGCTAGTGGTTAAAAGCATGTGCTGGGTTTCTTCCCAGCATCCGAATCACAAGATTCACAATAGCCTGTAACTCCAGTTCCAAGGGTTCTAACTCCCATCCTGGTCTTCTCAGACACCTGCACCTATGTGATGCACATACAGAGAAGCAGGCACACAGATACAGATAAAATAAAAATAAATAAATCTGAAAAATGGAGGACTCCAATTTTGATACTCCAAAGTATCAAAATTATCCTCAAAATGTACACATGATACACTTTGCATACAGCCTAAGGAGATGGGGAAAAGGCTCCTTTGAATTTTTTTAAGAATAGTGATAAGGAGCTTGTGAGAAATTTTCCAAATTTATTCCCAAACAAAGGAAACCTGGAGGTTTCCTATGGGAGCCTATATGTATTTGTACTGAAAGGCACTTTAGGTATGGGCCTATTCCTGAGCACACTGAGTATAAGGAAGAGAATCCCAAGCATGCCAGATTTGAGATCATAGTCCAAGAAGGAAAGATGCTTAATACATTCCTTGGCATGCCTAGGTCAAAACCATCAAGTAGTTGTTTAAGGGGATAAAATGAGAAGAATAAGCAATAATTCTTCTGGCCACGGTTAGTTTGAATTATAATACTGGGCAGGTAGAATTGTTTGCTCTGTTTTTCCAAAAAAGTTTGAGCTAAACCAAAAGAAAAGATGTTTTGAATGTATGTTAACACGGGAGTTTGCCCATCAAAGGGCAGCTCATATCATCTCAAGATCCTAGAATCCTAAGAGCGGAAATCATAAGTGAAGTGGGGCAAAACAGATTGATTCCTGATACTATAAAACTTTTTAATATTTCGGTAATTGGCAATTAATATTACAGATGGTTTCTGGCATCATCCAGTGATAAAATGATAATGGCTAGCAGTTTTCCAAAATCAGGAAAAGATAACTCCTGATAGCTATAGATTACTGACATCATTAACTGAAAAAAAATACTTGGGGAAAATTCAACCATTAATTCACAATCTTGAAGGAAGTGTGAGATACTAGCAGAAAAACCTAGAAGGACTAAGGGAGAAAATAAGTTAGACTGCTCTAACATTGCTTTCTTTGCAAGGTCACAAAGGCAGAGAGAAAATGGCTGCTGTAAGCTGTTCTGGTTCTGTTAAAGCTTTTGATAGTATCCTGTCTGTTCTTCAAATTTATAGGCAAGATAATCATCATCCCAAACAGGTTTGAGGGGATTATGTAACTCAAAGGCCTGTTTCTGGTGTCTAGCCCCATTTCACTGACAAGAGAGTCCAAGAGCCAAGTTCCTTCTCATATCTACCAGTACATGGGAAGAGCTGCTTCCCACATTGGTGCAGTGCAAAATTTGGTACTCCCTAATCTACTGGAGACTGAAACACTTTTAACCCACTTTCCAAACTGAAGTGTTTCGAGAGCCACATGGATAAAGAAAACTTTAAGAAAGGCCAAAGAAAGTGTAGAATATCACAACCCACTAGGACACACAGTGAGACATAGCCATAATTAGGATATTAGCTTTCTATAAATGGTGGAGTCTTCAATACACGGCAACCTGAAGACAAGCTGACTTAATTGGGATTTCACTAGACATTTTCAGGATATGGAGCCCCATGGCCAGTCAGTCCACATGGAAGGGCAAGATCTCTAGGATGAAAGGACCTGGATCTACCTCAGTGGGCCTGGCTCTTATTTCTCAAATAGTTGTTTTCTGCACAAGAAGAATGAACCAATATCAGCTAGTCTGCATATACCATGGCTGCCTCAGCTGTCACTTTCTTTCAATCTCATAGCTGTTCTTATCCACCTTGTACTTTGGTCAAGCTTAACTACTCAGTATATAATATATCAGGAACAAATTCATCTATGCCACTCCCACTACCTCCCCCTCAGCAACAACATCAAGACATGACTGCTCAGCTTATCTCTAGGAAATCATGTCAACATTCAAAGAATCTGTGCCAGGCTGAGGCCAACCACAAAATGACAACCAGGGAACAAAGTTGCATGGGGGTGGTGAGATTTGGGTGCCAACTCAGCTCCCACCAAAGCCTGTCTGTTACTGTCACATATGCCATAAATAAGACATGTTAAGAGGCATTTGCATATAAAACATTTCCTTTTCCTATATCCTGTTAGCCTGTAATCATTATGAAGGGTAAACTTTTTGTCCAAGGCAACTTCTATGAGGCCTGCACATAGTAGGCACTCAGTATAAATTTATTTTTATTTAAAAAAATCAAGTCACATCTCTAAAGTTATCACTTTTGTTATAAACTCTATATACCTAATGTCCATCATTTTTCCTATGAGCACATGGACCAGCAACAGTAGGGAGCTTGGGCATCCTAAGAGCTCCTTCCCAACTCTGCAGCTTTCTTGTCGCCTTTATCGCCTCAACTCATCTCCATCTTTTCTCACCACCTGCTTTCTCATCTCACTCATAACAGTGTGCCTCTTGCTGCTCCTTAGAACCTGACTCCACTCCCTTGTCTGTGACCAGCACTGTCTCTTATTTTTACCTACTCGGGCTTCAAACACCTATAGAGCCAGTTTGCCAAGCTAGATTCTTAAAAACTCATGCCTAGTAGAGGTTGGAACGCACCCTTGCACATCTTCCACTCACCTAGTGCCAGAAGGCACCCAGTAGAGTCTGTTCCTGTTTGAGCCTCCCTCTTAGCACCCTGCACAGTGGCTTACATTGACTTTGCTCTTCTGTTCGCCCCCACCCCTCCCACATCCAACAGAGCCATATGGAGGCTTACTTTCCTAATCCTTTAAGGCTGCAGGGATCCCAACAGTTATTGAAGTCTTAATAGTGACTGAAATAGAAACACCTGTCTAGCTTACGACTTCATCATCAGGGTCACAATAGCATTTATTACATGTCTAGTATATGACAGGCACTGTGCTAGCTGCTTTACAAGTATCACCACTATGGCCATAACATGCCCGTGCCCTTGGGCAAACAGCTTCTTTCATGAATTGCTACGAGGAGAATGACAAAACCTAAAACTAGCCAAATGCAAGGTCAGGGCCATTATGGACACACAGTCCCACTAAAAGTGTCCAGAAAACCTTTGTCCATTATTTCTATGTTTTCTAGAAAAAATATTTATAAAATATGAATCATTACTACAGACAGCTAGACCTGAATCCTATATAATAGCTCCTGTATGCTTTTTACATTCCTTCAATATGAGGAATCAGACAGTGGAAAATAAACCCTCCAAACACGACATTATCCTTCCCAAACTATGTGGTATCAGGAAACCTAGTCCATCTTTTCTTGTGGATTGTGAGTTTCCTTTGTTGTAGCATGGGGATGATAACATCTACATGGCAGGTGTGTTGGTAATGATTACAATATACGTTGTAAAGTGACTGACACAAATTAGGTGTTGGGGTGCTTCATTCCCTGGGCCACATGTGCCTTTCATGTAATCAAGAGGTCAGACCCACTTGATAAATCGAATCAGAAACATTAACTGGTAGGGCAAGTAGTGGTCATGTGTCCAGAAAATAATGTCTTTGTTTATGATATTAAGGAAAAATATGTGTAAAGCTATAAAATCTGTCCTGATCTCTTCCTTGTGGACATAGGCTAAACATTTTTCTCCCAATCTCTGAAGGAAAACAGGTTCATCAGAGAGACTATCATTCTGAGTTTGGAAAAGTTAAGAATTATAGAATATTTCCAAATGAAAATCATTTTCTTCCTGAATACATACAGAAAATTTAATCCAGAAAGGGTCTGGTAGCTGAAGCTGTGCCAGGAACTTTTTGTGTGTGTGGCTGAGGAAGGAAGGTTAATAATTAGAAGTGGCACTTACATAAAACCATTGCTATATTTGGGGTCATTTGGGATGTTTGAAAACAGATTGTTCCCATGAAATTACAAACATTTCTTCTATCATCACAATCTTTACCCTGTTATTTACTATAGCGCTCTGGAAGAAGCAAAGGTGAATAACAATTGACTAAAATCATTTCTAAAAGTCATGCTCAAACCCCGTGACTTTTAGTTAAGGACGTTTCTTTCTTGACCCTTCCCCTTTAAGATTAACATGGCAAGATGGTCTTCCATCATTTTGTCCTATTTTCCCAGATAATTTTTTAATTTTTTTATTCATTTTTATTTTTTATTTTATTTTTTTGGTTCTGAGTTTGGAACCAAGAACCTCACACATGTTAGACAAGTGCTCCCCACTGAATTTCACCCCTAGCCCACTTTCAACCTTTTATAGACGCTACTATTTTCCAAAACCCTGCCTTTTTCCATAACCCTGCCTTTCATCACAATGGTGTTTTTTTTAAATTGAATTCCACCCTCCCCCATCTCTGTCTGTCTCTGTCTATCTGTGTCTGTTTCTGTGTCCGTGTCTGTTCCGTTTCTGTGTCTGTCTGTCTGTCTGTCTGCCTATTTCCTTCTCTAAAGAAACATGATCATGGAGCACAGTTCAACAAAGGAGGAAATCATCCATGAATTAACAAACATTAGATATTAGTGCTGTGCCATCTGCTTCTGAAGCAACATGTAAACAACCATGGTTATAAAGATGCTTCTCTTATCTTTGTTGTTGTTACTGTTGCTGCGGTTGCTATTATGGCTTTTTGTGCTTCTGTGGTGCTGAAATGAACCTAAGCAAGCCTGTTCCACCTCCACCCCTTGCTGGCTACTCCAGCTCCTGCTCTCCATTTTCAGGAAGGATTTTTACCAACATTTATCCTTGTCTAATGATTTCCCGCAACTTTAAGTAAGATCTGGGACATTTTCTTAAGGGAAAAAAACTATTTCTTTTCCCACAGTCCTAGGTCTTATTAGAACAATGGTGAAATTGATTTAACTGAAAATTTGAAGCCCTCTAACTAAAAGATCTTCCTTGGGCTACAAACACAAAAGTTATGGGAAATGTAAAAGCAGACATGTCTTGAAATGGAGAGTGGAAAGGTTGATTTCCATGAACTTAATTCTAGCAGTAAAATTCTTAACTGTATTGCTAATTTTATAAAGGTTTGACATATGAGAATGTTTAAAATGGGTTTTGTTGTTTTAGTCTCAGGACTAAAGTGAAAATTGTTTGAGGTTGAACTAAACAAAGACTTATTTACTAAGTGTGGACAAATTTAAGGCATGTGACTGGGGCAATGATGGTCATGAGAACTCTCATTTGGGATCCATTCCATTCTCCATTGTGCCTCCCTTCTGGGTGGTCTATGTGGCCATTCTTGGTGGTCCATTAGCATGTTATTACTTTGCACACCTCTTTGCAGCGCCGAGTCACAGATGACCGGTGCAAGAAACACTCCACCCACTGCCAGTAAGAAGGAACTGCTAAGCAAGATAAAATGAGAAATGATCAAATTGTCATCTTTAGCTGTGGAGTCATTTAAACATCAATGTGACAGATACATGGAAGGTTTAGACCACCCAGCTGGTTTTGGGGTAGTTCAGAAAACTGTTTGAAGAGCCTCCAAGAATGTGCTCCACTGTCCAATCATACTCCACAGCTTCCCCTTCTTTTTTGTTGTTGATTGAAGTAGAAGAAATTATGCTAATTAAAGACTTCACGTTTCTTCTTTTTTCATATGTGGTAAGTGCATGTGTGTGTGCACACGCATGTGTGATATGTGTGTATGTTCCTGCACAAGGGTGCAGAGATTGTGGAGGTCAGAGGTTGGTAGAGGATTTGGTCCTCAATTGTTCCCTTACTTTTTAAGACAGTCTCTTAATGAACTTGGAGCTCACTATCTGGGCTAGACTAACTATCGAGCATGTCCCCATGGGTTCTCTTATCTCAGCTTCCTCAGTCTTGGGATTAGCGAGATGTGTACCACCATGCCAGGTTCTGTTATATGAGTGCCAGGGGTCTAAACTGAGGCCTTCACTTTCCCCACTTTTCCAATTTCCAGCTCCTATTTTTCTTTATTGAAAAGTAACATTATTGATCATAAATTTCCCAACCAGGGGAACAAGACACATTCATAACAGAATAAGCTCGTATATGTTCTATTACAGACATTGAAGTGGAAAGCGTAGTGGGAAAATTCTAAAAAAAGATTCCCTTGTGAGTTCTATAGGCCAGTCATAGAGATCCAGTTTGGGCTTTGGTTATAGCTCTTCATCCCCTAACAAGAAACTATGACTATGTTAATGAGGGAGAGGGATATCCTCCAAAGGCTTTGGAGTGATCTTGATCTTACCTTTGAGCTACATTTGTACAATGGGTGACTGATAGAATCGACATAATGGTGCCTCATGCAACGTTGAGAGTCCATCAGGAACGAGCTGTCTGTTTTGCTGTCTGTATCTCCCATTATGGCCAATAGGGAGAGCATAGAAATGGATGCAGCTAGTACATGATTTCTCATTGTTGTAAGGGGAAACTTCTCCAGATGAACAGCAGAGGGAGACAGAGGACAATAGATTGGAAATGCAGCCACCTCCTAGGATCCAGTCCCTTTCAAGGCCAGGGCAGGATGAGGCTGCCGCTTTCTGGTTGTCATTGTCCTTTGTATGCAGGCGTTGTCTTGCTCCTTTCACTTGCAACTGATCACTGCAGTATGTACTGCACAGCTGGAATGAAAGCAGAAATGATTTTCCCCAGAACTCTTTACCCAAAGATATGGATGCAATACAAGAGATATAAAGTCAAAATTTCCATGTTATTTGGGGTTAATATTGGTTTCTAGAGCCTTATTAGCTTATGCTCTCATCCATTTCATGTCCCCTGACCTTAGTGTTTATGCTACATATTTATGACCATTTGGAAATGGACATGATGGTTGAGTAGAAACATATGTTGACTTTAATTGCTTGAGTCCCTGTGCCTAGGAGCAAGAATCCTCTGAGCCCATGGACAAGATTAACTACGTGGTTCTGGCCAGAGGATAACGAAATTGGGTGGTCTCATCTTTGTCCTTGGTTTGTGTGGCAGGAGAGGTTTTTTTCCTGATTCTCTCAAAGCTTTGGTATCAGCATCAGCTTTCAGAGCAGGAGAGGAGGCAGGCCAGTGCTAATGAACAAAGTCCACGGCCTGAGGGAGCACATTTTCCATTCTATACCCACCCACCTCATTTTCCACTTCTGTGCTCTAGGGCTCATCCTGTTTTTGTTTTAAGCCCTTGCCACCCAGCATCAGTGGCCAACTGCATCTGAAACTCGAATTACGATCACTGGCCTCCAGCGTTGCTAAGGCAGTGCATGTGTATTTCCCAAGAGTCACACATTTCTACAAAACCTTTGTAACCGACGCCCACAGTGTAATTGGAAAATGTGGTCATTGGAGAAGAGACTTATCATTAAAGTGAGATTGTGTTGGACTCATTTTTCTAAAATTTGCTTTGTTCTTTTAACCATACCTCCTGGTGAAAGGACCTGAGTTTAGGAATCTACTAAAATTACCTCACTGATGCTTTTCATTATACTAGAAGACACATAATATCAAAAATATTTTCAAACATTTGAGGAAATTGAGAGAACCTGATGGTGCACCCCAAACCAACAGAATAGAGTAACTAAAGAAAACATTTCAAAGAAATTCAGATCAAAGTTTAATTGTTTTGTTTATAGTACAAGTATTTCTTTAACTTTCTACTCGTGAACAGTCTGAATAAACAGGGTAAAGTATTGCTGTGATCACGATAAGAAGTTCAAGGTGGTATAAGCCAATCCATTTTGCTGTAATAGCGTCTGGCTTCAGACCAACTTAGCTGCAATTAGCCAGCTTGCAAGTGTAGGGTGAGACATTCTGAGTAGAAAAGGGTGTGGCAATGGGATCATCTCACAGTGGAGCATCTCTGGTAATATCAAAAGCTGAGAGACTGTGTCTCTGGGAAATCCTATAAATTACAGGAAGGGCAGGGACAAATAATGAGAGGACCCACCTGGACTAAGTCACAACCATTAATCAGCTGTGGCATCTTGCATAGATCACTTAAATTCTTCCAGTCCATTTCCTCACCTATAGGATAGAGGAATTGACAGCAATAGCATCTGCTGTCCCCTCCTGCTCCAAAACGCCAGCATTGAATAGCATTGGACTTGGCTACCACCATCTCCATCTCGATATCCCGAGGGTAATTTATATGACTAGAAGAGCTCTTTCTCAGACAGCCTAGCACCACTTTACGTTATGTACATGCTCATAGTGACCTCTCCTTAAAATGGATCGAGCACGTGCCCAAGTATCTCAATGAGCAAAAGGTGCAGAAGAACATTTTTTTCTTACTGAAAGTTGATTTTTTCCATAAAATATATATTCTTATACAGTTTCCTCTCCCCCAACTTCTCCAAGATCCTGCCTACCTTCTCTCTCTCTCTCTCTCTCTCTCTCTCCCCCTCCCTCTCTCTCCCATTAGAAAACAAATGTGTATTTAAAAAAATAATAATGACAAAATAAAAACAAACAAACCACTATAGAAGGACAAAACAAACAGGGAATAGGGCCCCCCAAAAAAGCACAAGAAACACATGTAGATGCCGAAACATACACATTTGCAAACACAGAGACCCCCATAAAGCCACAAACCTGGAAACCATAATGGCTAAAAAAAAAATGCTAAGACAAAGCATTGTGAAACCAAACAAACTCCAAAAATACTATTCAATTCGTTTTGAGTTGGCCGTCTATTGCTGGGAATGGGGCCTGTGTTAAGTGTGGTATGTATACTCAGTGAGACTCTGTTGGAGAAAACTAATTTTTCATTTGAGAGAGGTTATCAATTAGAGATAGCGTGTGGGCTGGAGATGTGAGCTTTTGTTTCCTTCACATCTCACCATGGAACACCAGGAGATCTCTTGTGCTGGGATTATAGACGTGAGCTTTCATATAGGTGTTAGGGGTCTAAACTTACAGGGGTCCTCATGTTTGAGCCGCAGCTATTTCACTGTCTGAACCTTATATCCTGAGCCCTGTGAACTGCTTTGTGGTTTTGACATGAAACACTATACTCAAAACTAGTTATATAAGACAAAGGGAGGCTGGAGAGGTTGTTCACTGGTTACAAACACTGGCTGCTCTTCCAGACTACCCAGGTTCAATTCTCAGCACCTACATGGAGGCTCACAACCTTTTGTAACTTTAGTTCCAGTAGATCTGATGCCACCTTCTGGCTTGCTTGGGCACTAGGCACATAGTGGTGCCCAGACATACAAGCAGGCAAAATACCCATATACATAATAGAAAAAAATAGAAAATAAAACGACAGAAAAATGACAAAGTAGATATAGTTTTGTGTCTACTTTTCAGATTTTTGCTTCCACTACATTCATACAAGTCATGACATTTTTCTTCATTTTTTTCTATTAGCACTGAAATAACAATGCAAGCAATGATAAGAAACTCAGAATTCATCAAACCTTCAAAACACAAAGGTGAGTTCTTTACAATGTGACGCTAGGATTTGTTTTATTAGTAGTAGTATTTATTGTTTAGATTTATTTCTATACAAAGTGTATGTTTAGTGCTGGAGAAGATCAGAAGAAGTCATCAAATGCTTTAGAAACGAAGTTGTTTATGATTGGGAACCACGATGTGGGTTCTGAGAATGGACTGAATCCAGGTCCTCTGCAAGACCAACAAGTGCTCTTAATCACTGAGCCATCTCTCCAGCCAAGCATTTGTTTGTTTGTTTGTTTGTTTGTTTTTGAGACAGACTCACTAAGTAGACGACTTGAGAACCTAAAGCATGCTGGAATTACAGGCCTGTATCACAACACTTAGCAACAGCTGAGATTCATGTTGCATTTTGGTTGGCTTTAACTATACAAATTGAATGAGCCATGTCTGGTATGCTGAAGATGAGTTTGTAAAACTAAAGGTCAAGAAAGGAGGACCACTGAGTCAAGCGGTAGTGGGCACAGACCAGTAACTGCACTGTGAGCAGGGATGTGCAAGGGGGAATTGAGGAATTAAGAAAATTCACACTACCACAGGATTCCTTGCTTTCTGCCAGGCTAGTGTACATCGGCTTTATGGGAGCGTCTAGCATTTTTTTTTAAAAAAAAGCTAAATTAATTCGTTTGTTCTATTTTTTAATCCACGTGTAACAAACCCAAATGTTGACTATCAGGATTTAGGTCCTTGGCCAGGCAGCCCACAATGAGTTGAACAAGAGAACTCAGTAGTCCTGTGTCCCTTTGTGCTTTGTGCTTTGCTATGGTCTCTGAGACCTGAATTTGGCCACAGGACAGAGCCCACGTTCTCAGGGCTCCAGTGCAGAGCCCTTTGCCGCAGGAGAAGCACGTAGGCCAGCATGCCCCAGTTTGGAGTTACCCTCCAAACGCTACCAGTGGAAAAGAACAACTGGTGCCCAGATTTCCCCCACCTGTCATCCTCATTGAAATAATATCGCAGCCTCCTGGGTGAGAGAGGGTGCTGTGCCCACGGATCAGCTCACTCTAGGGCTGACCTTCTGCCTGGCAGAGAGTAAAGCACTAGCTTTGCACAAGTGATTCCAGCAACAGGCTAAGACAAGTGTCACGTGCCAACAACGACCTTGGTTTTATCCTACTTGTGAGGCAAAGGAGGGCAGTGTTTCCATAGCTATCCTCGCCCGGGCTGTTCGCAGTCTTGAAATCGGCAGGTGTTCTTTCCCTGTTTCTTTCAGCAAACATTTATTCAACATGTATATTTATGTATTAAGTACCTCCCATGTGCCTACTTTTACTCAGATAAAATATAAGGACTGGGGTAAGGGGCTGGTGGCTGGCATGCCAAGGCTCAGTGTTAATGCCCAGCAACAAAAACAAATTAAAAATCTAAAGGTCAGGGGGGAAAGTAGGTCCTATCTTAGATAATCTCTTTTTGTCCACCAAGTTTATACGTAACGAGTCTGGGGCTGTTGTTTTCCTTTGTAATTTTGGGGTCCCATTGATACTCCTCATTTATCAACTAAATCATACTCAGCAAGCACAGCATCATCCAGGAGAAGATATATCGAAGCAAGTAAAGTATAATGACTTTGGAATGGACTCAATGTATCAGACAGAAATATTTATTATTTACTGTAATTTTATTTTGTTTTCTGAGACTGGGTCTCTCTATGTAGCACTGGCTCTCCTGTAGACTAGGCTGGCCTTGAGCTCACAGAGATCCAACTGCTTCTGGCTGTTCTGGAACTCTCTATATACCAGGCTGGACTTGAACTCACAGAGATCCATCTGCCTCTGCCTCTTGGGTGCTGGGATTAAAGATGTGCACCACTACTCACAGATATATGTTGCAATTTATTGTAGTACACAGAGACAAATAAATTATATAAAAGGGGGAAGGAATTAAAACCGCAAGGCTGAAAGAAAGCTTGCTACTAGATAACGCTTCATGCAAGGATTGGAAAAATAAGAAATTCTGGGTTTTATTCAGGGAGTGTATAGTACTAAGTAGCCCCTTCCCAGGAACCCCAAGAATTCCAATGGGATCTAGTCAATGAGATTCCTTGGAGAATAAGTCAGATGCTTCTTCCCAAGACACGTAATTTATAAACTGTAAACAGCATGTTGGATTGTATAAAGTATTCCCTGCACTCAATGAATGGTTTAAGATTATTTCTATCTAGCAGCACATGAGTAGCAGC